GCCCCCAGGGGCAGCGGCTCCTACGGCTGCACCCTGCGGGGCCGGGAGGCCGGGACCTGGTACCACCTCCGCATCGAGCCTCTCTCCGACGGGGAGGCTGTCAACATCTCCGTGCAGACAGGTACGGGGGGAGGGGACGGCAGGTGCTCGGGGAGGGACGCCGGGCTTTTCCTTCCCGTCCCCTTGCTTCGGACGGCTGTAAGAAGAGGAGGGCGATGCATTTACAGCCGCTGTAAACCTACAGCGTTTGCTGAACATAGCTATCCTGCGCTTGAGTTCTCTTTACCCTGCTGCCAGGAGTAACTGCTGCCAGAAGTTAACCCAGCAGGCTTGAAACGAGAAGGTGCTGTGAGGAGACTAGGTCAGTGCTGGGAGTACGTTTCTGCCGCTCCCTTAAGCTGCCATCCAGCAGAATGCTTTAAGAAGTAGTAGCCCGTAACATCCTTTGTGCTCATGCAAACCTATTGGCTTCATAGTTCCTCAGGTGACAGCTTATTTACTGTGTTTAAAATACAATCTATTTCATGGCAGGTAGATCCTCTTCAAGGATAACTTACTGTTTCAGCCCATTTCTATACTTCTATTCTGTCTAACCAGAGTCTAAAAGTCAGAAAGTAAGGCTGAAACTTCTTGTTTGTATGTTTTTCTTGAATACAACCGGTGAGGTGTTAAAATGTACAGTTGTGTGCAAAGCACTTACAGTGTCGCATCCATGACTGGCTGTAAAAATGTTCCAGCAGCCTGCCAGAGTGCTGCCAAGGAAAGCCCCCTTTCTGCATGCGTGTTTGCGTGGGCATGTGAACGACTCAGCTGTGAAGCAATGAATGACATAGAGCCACCATCTGCAGTGACAGAACTGGACTCTTTCTACCTGTATTAGTGTTTTTTTAAAGATGATGAAATATAGTATTGTCCAACCTCTTAATGGAGGTAACACAAGACTCAAAACAGCTATCTTAAATGAGGTGCATCATTAAATGCCTCCCTGATTTGCTCCTGAAGTGTTCGTTTCGGAGAGGTACTTTGCAGTCTTAGTATTGAAGATTACAGCAGTCAAATACTTAACAATTACCGGTTCGGAGACATTGCTTACTGTCAGACCCTTTTCCCTGCATTAACTGTACAAATGCACTAAATACCCTCCGTTAATTTGCTTTGGTAACTCAAGTGAAAAAAAGTCTAGTGACAAGTCTGCTGGTGTGATAGCTACACATTAAGCACAAGTCATGTCACTTGGTAAAAATGAGTAATGGTTTCTATGCAGACAGTGATTTAAATCCGTGTCATGCATCATGCCAACCGTTTTTAATATTGATGACTTGTAATTTGAAAATTGAAAGAATAAATCAGCCGTTATCAGTGACAGGTATAAATCACCATCGTTACTGGATAGTAGAGATCTATTGTTGAATGCTTGCGTAGAAGTAGACAAAAAGATACCACTTTAGACCACATTTTGATTAATGCATAATCATTTAGACAGTAGCTTGTACATGTCATTTATGACTTTTTTTATCAGTAAATAGATTTTGCAAGATTGTGAGATAAAAGTGATTGGAAGCAACGCTGCTTATAGTCATATCATGTAGCTGACATCAGAGTGAAAAGGCTGATTAAAGTTTAAGTTGAAATACTGCAAATTAGTGGACCATAGTTGAAGTGAAGTTTATGTTTGGATTTTGGATAGCAGAGATCAGTCAAAAGCATGAAATAAGAATAGAGGAACCGTGGAGGTTTCCTGCAAAGACAGCTACTCAGATTGCTCCGTGGCTCCTTGCCTTCCTTGATTCAATCACATCAGTTGCATTGCTTGATGGTGTTCAAAATATGCAATTAGCTCTAAAATTTGTCCATTTATTTTTTTTCTAAATAATATATAGGGTTTGTTATGCCTGTCAACAACCCATGTTGTACTGTCAATACTATGCATTTCAATGCAGAATGAGGGAGTATTATTCCTCTGTATACAGTTTCCACTAGAGGCAGCATTTTAAAACAATTTTCTGGAAGCTCTTTTTCACCTGTTCCTTTGTAACTTGATGTCCGTAGTTTTGTTTCACGATCTACTGAGCCTGAATGTCCATAGGCATATGTTCCTGGAAACTATCCGGTCAATATGGAAATACAAGCAATATTTTCAGCCGTATTGGAAACAAAATTCCCACTGATTTGAATGGTAGTGGAACTGAGCTATCGTGGGCCGTCTAAAAATATGATGTTTGACCTTGGTACTTAGTGAGGTTCCCTTCCTGAGCTCTTTGTCTAAGAAAGATGGGCTAAGCTGTCCTTTGGAGGTGCCCAGCTTTCTCCACTGACTGTAAAAGGAGCCTAGGTTAAAGCAGGCACCTGAAGTTTAGATGACTGAAGTTAAGTGAGAGGAATCCCATCTCATGTGTTTACTATTGCAAAATGAGGTTTTGAACGTCTGTATCATCTTGATACAATAAATGTACACAGAGAAAGTTGCAGATTCGTTTATATACCTAGTTCAGAAACTTTTACCTTTTTGCTCATATTCAATCCTGTTAAAATTTTCATGTGCTCCTTCCTGCTATGAGTTCAATTTTCATCATGTTTCTTATACAAAGTGCTGGAGTAGCCAAGCCCATAAAATCCAAAATACTTTGTTAAATTTTGAGTGTGATCTGTTCTGACTAAGGACTTAAGATGAAAGCGATGAATGTGTACCGTAGTTGCAGTTGTAATGTGAACGCTTGGAGAGGACCAAATCCCTAACTTAATTTGGCCTTTTCAGTATTTAAGTCCTCATTAAAATCATAGTTATGACAATGAGTTAAGTCTATGTTGTTTGCAAGTTTGATATTCCAATAGAGTAAGTGCGCAGCTCACCAAGACTGCATAAACTCTCAAGTAACACCAGACCCTTCATGAATCTTTGAGTAGAGAAGTAGCTTCTATTTCACTGGTGGATGCATAGATCTGAAATCTAATAATGTATGGAATACTGGTACAATAATCCGCACTGGTCCACTAAGGTAGAGTCTCTTTACTCAAGCAATTTTGATCTATGGGCTATCAATTTAAAATGGCAAGTATTTAATCCCCTAGAGCGGAACTAAAATAGGTCCTCCAAAAGGATGGAAAATACAATCACGTATGCACTATATAAGCCAGTTATACACAGGTGTGCAAACACACATACAGTGTTGGCAGGTGTGCTATTTTGGTAGAATAAGAAATGAAGAAAAAGCCAATAACACCATTTATCAGCTCTGAGCTAATTTTTCACATTCCACTGCAAACCTGAGATTACAGGTGTTAGTAGGCACAAGTCTGTATATTTATTTCACATTAATATTTACCATTTGTTATGTTTTTTGAATATATGTACATAAAACAGCACATGAAACCATACAACTAGTCAGCATGCTTGACATTGTAAAGTTGAGACAACACATGCACCTGTCGGTCCTTTCATGCTATCTTCTTTATTCTCAGTAAAACTATTTCTGTGACTGAGAGCTACTCTATGACAAAAGATGGTAGGGTTGTGTCTTTCTTGATTTCAGATAAAATACTTTTTAAGTTCTCAATTCTCCAAATGTTTGCACACCAGCATAACTGTGTATTTCAGTAGTGTATTTTCAGTGAATGACTAAGTCTTTAATTAAAATTGTAGTTAAAAACAATAGTATGTGAACAGATCCTAAATTACAGTTAAATTTACAAATTTCAGTTCTGAATTGAAATTCAGATTTGAAATACTCGTCTTGAGAGCCATGAAAAACAACTTGGCAATTCCCCTGCTTTCAAATACATCTTCTAAAATAGGCTTATAAGTGCCATTTTCAACATTGTTTTCTACAAAAATATTGCAGTGATATATTATGTTACTGCCTAATCCAAGCCACCTGTACTGAGAGAACTAACAGGTAAATAAATTTTTGTCAGAAAAATTGCTAAATCTTTGAATGAAAAGAGGTTAAAAATTCTACCTTCTAAGACACAGAAGAGGTAGAGTATTTTTCAATTGTAATATGTAACTCTGTAAATGCCAGAAACATGGCTTGGCCATGTGTTCACTCCTGTAAATTTCAAATTATCTGGGACAAATCTGATTTATTAGCCATCTGTAGGAACAACTACTGTGACAGGGCTCTGACTATAGGCTGTATAATCCTATCATCCATAATCACGTGATGGTTATGATCATCATCTCAAAAGGCAGAGTGACAAGAAGAAAATAAATAACCATGTTTTAAAGATTTTTCTAGGTTGCGTATCATCCCAAAGAAATCGATATTTGTACTTAATAAGGACAATGAAATCAACCCTCTTTACTTAATCTTCAGAAAAGTCCTTGTGAAGTAGGTCACTGAAAAAAATGGATAATTTGGTAGGAGTATGGCTGAGACTGGCAGGAATTCCCCATTACTCAGTCCTGGGCTCGTATGTCTCCGTTATTTTTTTTCTCCTGCATAAGGCAGGGGTGTTTCTGTGCTTACAGGCTGTATTTGGGAGTCATGTCATTAGGATTGGACGTAACCATATCTATCGTTTCTATAAAATGTATCTGTAGCAGCTGTGCACACAAAGCATATCCTCTTCCCAAAAAGTGAAAATGGAGGTGCAATATAATTCAAACAACATTAAGTCTTCTGGAAGATTCCTTTGTAGACCAGGAGACATTAATTCATATAGTATCAAATGGTATAAAAATATCTTTGTGAAAATATTTTATTTCTGTGATATATCAGCGTTGTATCGTTGCCAGCAGAGACTTGTATAACAATGTAAATGGCTTTTTAAGTGTTTGTTTCCATCCAGGGCTCTTTCAGCCCAGGCACTTCCCAATCTCATTGTTCCTTTGTTCTAGCGGATGTACAAAGCACTGAGTGTTTTGTTTTCTGGACCAGATAGATTAGATAAAGTCTGAATTTCTGAACTTCACCTTCTAGGCACGCAACTCTCTTCTTTGCTAATGGACCTTAGAAGACAGATTACCCAGGACAGTATAAGCGCTTCTAAAAATGTAGGAGATATCTTCTTTTGTAGAATTTGGCAAATAATGCAGATTACAATGTTGATTACTTTTGCAGGACTAACGAGCAGTCCTGACTTTGGCAGAGAGAGAGTTAAACTTCTTGACAGTTATCATGACTGTTCTCTTGATATCAGTCAAATTAAAACTTTTTCAGCTGGCTGTGCATCTGACCATATATAGTGCTGGAATTTATTTCTGACTCCCAAAGTTTGACCTTTCTGATTAGAACAATTGCCTTCAAGGAACAAGATTATATCCTCACTATTCACTTTTGCCAACATAATAGTCTTTAGTGGCTCAGTATATATTATAGGTGGAGCTGGTAGTCAAGCCTATTGTTAAGATTTCCTGACACTTTTCATTAAAACCTCCTGTTTCAATTGCTGTAACTGAGTGAAGTTTTAACTATTTGGCCTGAAGTTTGATGTGCTTGGTCTTTGACTCAAGTTTTAATTTTTTGTTTTTTTTTCAGATTTAAGCAGAGTTAGTTTGGCCTTTAAGAAAGAGGTCAAGAAAAGAAGATAGTTATTTTTATTTATTGATACTGTTACTTTAATTTTCATCTCTTTTTCTGAAGAGCACTAGCGTCTCTGTGGCCCAAAGCAAGAATTTGAATTTAAGCAGAAACAAGTATTTTTCACAGAGTCACAGAATCACAGAAGGGTTGAGGTTGGAAGAGACCTCTGGAGGTCATCTGGTCCAAGCCCCCTGCTTGAGCAGGGCCACCTAGAGCCGGTTGCCCAGGACCATGTCCAGACAGCTTTTGAATGTCTCCAAGGAAGGGAATATTCCCTTGAAATTCCTAATATACTCTATTGACAGAGCATACCACCAAAATCTGGCACCAGTATGTTCTCAGTAGAGCTTTGTAAGAAACAGTTAAACCCTCCGCACCATCCAGGCTTTGAAGAAAAAACAGCTTAAGGGCTACTAGCCCCATAATACTCCTACCGCTGTATTCGTAGGGTGGGGGTAGGTTCAGCTTCGTCCTTTCAAAGTTTACAGTGCAGTTTTTAATTATGTGATCTCAAACTCTTTCATATGCCTTGTTCAGGGAAGCAGGGTCTTACTCTTCTGTGTTTAAGGCACTGTTCATATGGAGACCTCAGTTCTCAGCCTGGATGCATCATATGCTCCCTGTCTTATGCTAGGCAAGAGTAGCACAGAGTGTACTCAGGTGGAAGCCAAATTTAGTTGTTAAATTGTTGGGAAACCTTTATTCTTTAACTCACCAACTTGTGAATGCTTGATTTTGCTGCTTTGGGTTGTTTTACAATACCTTTTTAATATGAATTGCTTAACCTTACTGGGAGACATAAATGTCAATACCTTAGTACATCAACATACAATACATTTCTTTTGATTTGCATGAAGTTTTGTGAGTGACAAAATACACCCGGAGAATACAAGCAACAGTCTTTTGTTTTGGTAAATGTTTGCCATCCCTTTAGAGTGTATCGTATTTTACAGGTGATTTTACTTGAGAGCTCCTTAATAAACAACATAACAAACGCTGAGAGTTTCTCAGAGAAATAGTCCCAATTAAACATAGTTCCTAAAAGTTTATCCAGTATACTGTTTGGGTTTTTTTAAATTTATATGAACAATACTACAGCAGAGCAGAAGCATATTCTATCAGAATCTGTTTGAAGTGAAATTAATACTGAAAACAAAGGATTGTTGCCCTTAAAATTGTATAAATGCTCATGCCCATTAGTGATAAAGTGTTTAGCGTGAGTGCTAGGAAATGAAAGCCACTGGTACCATTGTATCTATGAAGCTACATTACACTGAGGTATTGAGTGTAATTTGCTGGGTTTTCATGTTTGCTGTTTCTTATTAAAGTTGTTACAGTTTTACTATCAGCAAATTTCCAAGCTTGTCATATACATCCACAACTGGAAGCGTTTTTCTACGCGTGCGTGTGTGTGTGTGAGTGAGTGTGTACACATATACGCTAACATTTCTGAATTCTGCAGGACTCTTGTAGACAAGTTTCAGTGATAACGATGTTTATAAATGGAAAGAAAAAGACTTTTTGAAAAGCATTGTCAGCATGATGATGATAAAGGGAGAGTTTTAGAAGGTTTTTTGTGCTACTGTGTAAAACTTCAGACAATCCCAATGCAAGAAATACTAGTTTATGTTTTCTGTTTTTTTTTAACTACAGATCCCTTACCACCACCTCGTTTTGAAATTAATAAGGAAAAAACTACACTCACAAGCTTGCAGGTTCAGTGGGATCCTTCCTCAGGAAAGGTGGACTTGTATAACCTAGTATTATTTGATCATGATAATAAAAAGATACAAGAAGTCTCTGTACCAGGAAGAATTTCAAAAACAGAAAATACTTTTTCTAGTCTCATCCCTGGGAATAAATACAACATTGTCCTCAGTGCAGTTGCTGGAAATAAGAGTACCCTGGAACTTCACATAAGTGGATCTACTGGTAGGACTTCTTTTACTGTAGTTCATCTAAATAAAACCACTTACGGTATTTTGCAGTTCTGCATTTTGAAATTAACAAATATATATAATTCTACCTGGGAAGATATATATAGAGATAGATATATATATATATGTAAGTATCTATTGATTATAAGTAGAAATAAACAAAACATGAATCTCTGACTAACATAAAGAGTAGTTTGCTATGAATGGAGGCATGTTGTTATGGTGTATTTGGACATAAATTTGGGGTTGGGTTTTAACTAACCCTAAAGAAACTCAAGATATTTCAAAAGTAAATCTGTTCAAAATGGCTGAAATTGTGGAGACAACCATTAGGCCTTAAGCATGTGGTTTTTATTCCAACAGTGCCATCCCCTGTGAAAAATATTCAGGTCAGTGTCAAGACAGACACTATCCATGCTTCATGGTCTCCTGGCTCTGGGCACGTGGATAGTTACAGACTGGTGTTACTGGATGATCATGTCCCAGTTCATGAGATTCACCAAGAAGATCCTCTGACCTCCTACACTTTTTCGGGACTTACAGCGGGCCACCTGTATAACCTCTCTGTCATAACCCAGGCTGCAGGATTGGAGAGCAGCAGTTTTCAAACAGTCAGGACAGGTATGATTTCAGAATTCATCACAACAGAACAAGAAGCTAAGGCCATAATCTAATAATATCACAGGACATGTTTCACTATAATAAATGATTCATGTTCCAAGTGTATATTCCCAGACTTCAGTGGCTGAATTACCCTTGGTAGGTGTTTCTCTCCAAAGACTATAGAGGGAGTTAGAGACACCATAAGCTTATTTAGCTCCCTAAGTTAGCACTGCAGCAAAGTTAGCAGCTAAATTAGCTTGTAGAGTGTCTGCAGCTAACTTAGCTGCATTGCTTATTGCAGGCAGCTCCATTAAACATGTAAAGTTAGGTGTTAACAATCTGAGCCCAAGTGCCCTAGTATCACCTCATATCTGTGAAAGAGGTTCATCTGACTCCTGTATGAACTTCTTCAGTGAATTGAGGCACTGTGTAGTCTGGTTATTTCACAGTACTGAAGGCAGTTTAGCTCCATGATTCTTACTTAGCTGAATGGGAGATGCAGAGCTTGTGAGTTTTGCAAAAAAATATTTTCTGTGACTTTTTTTCCTTGGATTGCAAAATAGCTGCACTTCTGAAAAGGAAGTGGGGAAAAAAATGTAGAGTAGGTTAAGAACTTTAAAATTTAATGTGGTTTTTTTTTTTTTTCACAGAGAAGTGAAAAAAAGGCTTATACTCTTGTTTCATTTTATTTCTTCAGAATTTTTTATTTCTTCCTGTTGTGGGGTGCAAAAATTTTAACTCTCACAGGTTTTCTCAGAATATAAAAGCACTCCATCTAGCTTGCAGCATGGTCCTCCATTTCAGTACCTAGTGTGCCCCAAGCCTGAGAAATGAAGATACTGGAGGTGGCTATGCTTTTCTTTGGTGGAGCATTTGAATGAAGGAGTTTGATTCCAATCCCTTCTACGCTGGTATAAATCAGGCATAGCTCCAATAATGCTATAGTGTTTACCAAAATGTACGCAGACATCTCTGTTCTTAGGAGCATGTGCCTGGTCTGTTTTATAGTCACTCAAAATGACTAGTGTGAGTGCCGAACATGGCTAACTGATTTTCTATTCCGTGAAACAAGAGTGGGCATCGTAAGAGGTGTCACTCTCAGCAGCAGAATATCTTACACAGGGCTGGGTTCAGTTTCACTGTGACCAGACTTTGCCCTTTCACTGTTCAGGCACAATCATTCATACTCCCATCTTATATAACTATTCAAAAGCAAAACTTAACTATCGCAGTTTGAGGCAGCAGGTCTTTTATGTTCTGTGGTGGAAGTATTTTATTCTTCCTTATTTTCTTTTTTTAGCCCCAGCTGAAGTCCTAGATTTGACGGTGACTAATGATGACAGCTTAGATGCTTTAGAAGTTAAGTGGAGAAGACCTTCGGGAAACCTCGATTTCTATAATATCACTCTGTCTCATCTTGGATCAGTTAAAGAAGTCAAAACTCTGCAGCCACTGGTCACAGAGATTCACTTTGACAAGCTAACTCCAGGACGTCTTTATCAGGTTACTGCCCGCACAATCAGTGGTGAACTGTTTACTGATCGGATGGCAACTGGAAGGACATGTAAGTCTTCTGCTTCAGTAAGAACATTGTAACCAATGCTATTTTTGCCTACACTGGCCTTGTAGAAAATCATTGTAGGAGACAAAATGATTTGTATTCCAGGCAAAATAAGATAAAGAGCACAATATTGTTCCGGGAGTACCCCTTCCTGACTCTCTGGCAACAGTTAATCTGGCAGCCAAAGGCAGCTCCAGCATAGCTTGGGAGCAGGAAACTAATGCATTTTGGACCTTATAGTTGGGTGAGTCTGTTACAAAACTGTTCCATACTACTGCACTTCTGACCAACTTTGTTACCTTGAATTCAACTCAGCATAGTATATAAAATGAGTTACATTATGGGGAAGTCTGCATGTAGCCAAATTGCTAACAGATTTTTAAGTAATTTTGCAAGGTCTGATATTATCCCTTGCTCCAGACACAAATCTACAAATAGGAAAAGATTAGGTCTCGGCTTTCTTTACTACCAACAGCATGGATTAAGGAAGGCGTGTGGCAGCCTGGGTAGAGCTGGGTTATGTTTTTTTTATCTTCTTTCAGAAGTATAATTTTCTTTCATGTATCTCTTGTATGAGTTCTGAACCTGAAAAATCCTGGCATAATTCTTCTACAGCATTACTGGCCACAGTCATCTTCTCCACACCAGCCTAGCCCAGGCAGAATTTAGGTGGGAAAAAATATATAAGTGGGTGAGGAATACGTACATGAATTGTTAGTAGACTCAGAGCCAAAAAATATAAAATGTGTGTGTGTGAGAGAGAGAGCAGAGTATTTATTTTAGAGAACATTTATCATCTACAACTAAACATCTCATGTGAAAGGCACACCCTTGACATATCTACCCCATTCTCAGTGCAGGCTGGAAGACACCTGAAAAGCCTTTTATGTCCAGTAAGTGCAAAGCTAGACTGGCTGTATGCATGTCTTTTTTGTTTGTCTAGCCTACCATTAAAGATCTTTAAGATTACCATTTCCATCTGAAGGGAGAGCTTCAGGCCTTCACTCAAACCACTGATCCCCAAATCTGTGACCTAGACCCAGTACTTTCAAAGTTGGGGATCTAGAAGTCCCATTTCCAAGGATGCTGATCATGTGCAATTCCTTCCCTTGACTTTTCCATAGCTTTGAAAAGAGAGTCACTTCAGCAGAAGCTTTGTGGCCTAAAGATAAATTTGTAAATCCAGGCTGTCAGGTCTACAGATACTGAAGGGGTTAGACTCTTAGGATCCCTCTGTAACTCACAGAGAGAGACGGGTGCCCAAGAACATTATCCACATCGCTGTGTATTGAGAGGGTGCCTACGGCAGCAGAACCTGCTGAGGAATGTTGTTGTAAGGAATATGGACATCTCAGGGACTGAAACTTTGTACCATAAGGATGTAATGATGTCCAGCCAGTCTGACAAAGCTGAACTTTATCTGTTATGATGTAAGTACATCTATGCTTCCTAACAAAACACCATGTGTTTTATCCACTCACTCAGCAACTGAAACACATCTCCCATATTCACTGGCATGTGGGAGATCTAGGTTTGATACCCAGGTATGCCTGTGGGAGGTGAAACTGGTAAGTATTTTGTGGTGCTGGTAGAAATCTCTCAATCCTTTGCTAGGTACTGAGCAATTAAATATTAACTAAGCCAGAGAAAACGTGAGAGCATGATTCTAGCCTTGTAGTTTACAGTTAATACTTGCTGATGGTCTCAGGGCTCCAAAGCTGATCTCTGAGTATCTTAACACTAAGCTCTAGGTATCCTAACCTAAGGGTCTGCATCTGTCTTCCAGTCTCCGCTTGGTGGGGTTAATATTTAATTATTCCATGAAAATCAGATAAGCTTCAGTGGTCCAGTGTGACCTGCAGCAGTAGGGCAGGAAGGTTGAGCATGTAAATTCAGGACCCTTGAGTCTGTCCGGAGACAGGACGGAGTGGATGCTTTAATGGACCTCAGTTTGAACCTTGGTGCCTTACAGCTGGGAGGGACTAGGACATACAAGGCCTTTGCAGCAGAAGCCATCAGACTTTGCATTTCTGCTGCTGAGACCAGAATTTGGCCCATAGTGACTGAAGTTTTGGCCTTAGCTTTGAAAAATTGATTGACAGTTTCTAAGTGAACTTAAGTCCAGGCGACAACTGGGAAGCTAACTGAAAACTGCAAGATGCATCTGAGAAGTGCACGGGGGATATTTTGGCTGCCCTAAGAAGGGTTCCCTATTTCTGATGTCAGAAACCAACAGTGAAAAAGTGAGCGGTTGGAGTGGGGAAGAGTAAAAATTATCTTTAAAATGAATGCCAACCTTTGTAACAAGTTGCCTCACGTTGCTCTAACTGATCCAAGTACTTCTACAATAGCTATGCTGCGAGACAGGTTTTGCCAGTCTGCAGGACGTCTTACCAGAAATACCCCATTTCAAAATTACTCTCTCAATCTCTGTATTTCAGTTCCCCAGAAAGTTTCTGAGCTGAAAGCCGGTGGTGGTGGCTGGCAGAGGTCTCTGCGAGTGAACTGGCTGCCCCCTGCGGGAGACTGGGAGAGGTACCGCCTGCTCCTGTGGAACCGCTCGGCCCTGGTGCTCAACACCACCCTCGAGAAGGACACCACGGAGTATCTCATCCACGACGTGGGCCTCATCCCGGGGAGGCAGTACGATGTGGAAGTCATTGTGGAGAGTGGCAATTTGCAGAGCAAGACTAGCTGCACGGGGAGAACAGGTCAGCATGCTCGTCTGGGAAGTGTGAAAGTGCAAAATGTTCAGCTGGGCTCTGTGGACAATCAGAAAGAAATAGTACCTGGGAATCCACAGATGAATTTCACTATTAATACAGTAAAAAGGAGCTCCCTTGTGAAAAACAGAAATAATTATTTTTAGCAGTTCCATGAAAATTGTCAGGGTTATTTTTGTGGTAAATGTATTGTTAGTGAAAGTTTTGGGAATTATATCACCATTCTGTCATGGCTGAGGCATAACATTACATGTATAACATTTCACTGTTAGATTTTGTAGCTGACTGCAGGCACCTTATATAGTTTTTTAAAGAGAGCAATATAGATTTTCTTGTATTGTTCATCAGTGCATCCAGTGGCAAACTGGTTTACTTGCCAGCTTGTATAACTAATTAGTATCAATAGTGTTAACCAAAACCGTCTGAGCCATATGTTAGTGTGGGTGTTCCATAACATCCCAATTCTTGTTCCTGTGCTCCAGAAATAAAATGGGGTTAACCAGTTCAAGTCAGCCTTTCCGAAGGAAATCCATATACACTGCAGTGACATTACTGGAATTCTTTTGGCGCGTGCTAGTCAAAGCCACATCTGATTGATTGCTTCAAACTTAAAAAATAGTTGCAATATAATTGTTAATGGTTCTGCTCTGGGAATGCAAAATAAGTGCAATTCAGAGGACAAGAAGACTTGGAGAAGGAGTATCAGGCAAGGCTCAAGCCTGAGCCTTATCTTACAGGAGAATGTGAGATAAGATAGGGCCACCCCACTTTATCCTCACACTTCCTGGTGCCCGCCTTTCCTGCTACGCTCTTACCTGTCATTCCCCGAGGGCTTCGTTTTGTTGATTTTGCCCAATGGCAATACCAGTAGATGCTACAGAACTGCAGTTTTCTCTAACTTCTAACCAACTTGATCAGAGGAAGGCAGATTCTCATCTTGCTTACTTTGATATACATTACAAATAATTTAAGTTTATGGTGTTACTTTTAATTGACACAGCTAAGTGATTAGAACGTAGTCCAATAAATAATATCCAGCAGTGTGTGTATCACAACTGTATTTGACCCACAGTCGGGTACATAATGTACCTGTTATGAAGCAGAGGTATTAGGCCCTATTCTGACTTAATTTTCTCTTATGTAAACCCACAGTCTTGGAAAAGTGGTGAGTGATTCCACTCAACTTGGAAAGTGAGTTGGATTTCAGTGTAACAGGCACAAAATCAGATCAGGGGACTATGTTAGGTAACAGATGCCCTCTGTATGCATGCATGCACACACACATGAACACACACAGAAGTTCACTGATCAAATTCTTTCTTTTATACCACTGTAAGTTTGGAGTGTCTCCCAACTTCACTGAGATATGAACCAGTGCAAAATCAATGTCACTCTGACCTTATAATTTGCATACTTGTTTGTTACAGCTAAATTGGTGTAGATCTGTTTTATGGTACAAATGTTTTATATCCCTGTCTAGCACCCACAGTTCAAGAGGAGGCTCACTGACTTCACTGCATTCCCATTCATACTGAAATATATATCCTGGCATAAGTTTAAACCTAAGCTTTACAGCTATAATCATTGCTGAAGTCTGCTGCTACAGCCCTTTACTGGAAAAGTAGCACAAATACTAGCTTTGTAAGACTGGCTTCCATAGAGAAAGGTAAAGAATCTCCTCTTGATTACAAATACTCTGTTGCTGTCACATTTCTGTCTTACAGAACAGATTCCTTGAGATACGGAGCAGCTTGAGATATGACATGTGTGCTCACTACAAAGTCCTGTTCTCATTGTGATATTTGTGTACTTTTACAGCTCCAGAGCCTGTTCTCCAGCTCCGTGTGAAGCATGCTAATGAGTCTTCACTTGGTGTCATGTGGGTGACCCCTGTTGCAGAATGGGACAGTTACGTGGTTTCACTGGGAGACAGGGATCTTACTGTCATAAAAAAAGGGCTTGCAAAAGAAGCTAAGGAATTCACTTTCACTGACTTGGTACCTGGAAGAAAATACACAGCTACCATCACTACCATTAGTGGGATTTTAAGCAACTGGACTTCAGTGGAAGGAAGAACAGGTATCATCCTGTCAAACTATTTTATTCTTTACTTCTGTTAACTGTTAACAGCGTTCTTTGCTTTGTAGTGAACTGAATGAACTCAGTGTCTAAATATCAAAAGACTTGAATTTACATTTGTTTCTTCAGGAGAAAAGTTATGTTTCTGAGTCTCTCATTTCTGACTGTCAGTTATCTTGCAGTATTTATTTAAGGTTTTGGGGAAATGGATACGTAATTCTTAGCAAAACAGTTTTCTGAAATATTGTGTCACGTCTGATCGATGTACATCACACAAGATTCCATATAAGAAGAACAATTTTCACTGGGTATCTTCAGGAAGGTCACTTCCTTGATTCAAAGCATTCATCATCTGGAAAAAAAACACACCACCACACAGGAAAATGTTGCTTTAGGGGGAACATTCCAAGGTTGACAGACACAAAACATATGTGACCTTGAAAATGTATTTTGAATCTCTGCTTTTCTGATTCCAAAATCTGTATCTGTTACTTAGGATGATGACTGTGACACATGGAAGGTCCCATTCCAACCCCCTGCAGGGTGCTAACTTTGTGCACATGTACAAGTTTTAAACCATAATTGTTGCTTTACTCTGCTTGACTTACGCATTCTCCAGTGCAAGCAAAGTCTTAAAAAATGTAGCTCTGGTCTGGCACAGCACAGGGAAAAACAAGGTGCTAGTGTATTAATCTAATCATGCCTGTGGCTTGATAGTGGTCCTTACTAAAGTGTTGTAACTCTTTCCAAGGCCTTAAAAGTTTGACTTACACTTTTATTTCTCTACTATGTGATTAGATAGCTGGGATTTCACTTCCTTCTGCCTTGCGCCCCTGTAGGAGGCCTATTCAGGCATAAAGGTTACAGTGTCCCACTTCACTAGTATGAATCAATGCTTGAAGATACATCAGACAGGGATACTGTGTCAGCATTACATTCAAAGTGATGAAGAACGAACGTCAATGAATTTGAACGTAGGTCTTAATAAGCATTCCAGACCTCTGAATCTGCTTTTCAGTAGGACAACCTACTAGGCCTGCAAAATATTGCTGTAAATATGACAGAAATAGGTCTTACATGCTTCCCAGATTGGTCAGCTCCCAGCGAAGCCTGAGGTGCCACTGAAAGTGCCTTTAGCATAGAAATCTGGCACTTCTGTTTCTTGTTGGACCTTGCTATGTTATGACAGTATTATAAAATAGGTGGGATTTTTGCTTCAGTTTTATATGAATGTTACGTTTTTTCAGCTATGTGCCTAATTTTCTAGCTTTTGTTAATGATTGCTAATCCAGTACTATGTGTGCAAAAAGGTTCATATAAAACAAGAGATGAAGCTTGCAATCACATTTTGTAAAGTTAAAGGGTTCTTAAAGCCTAATTTTCTAGCTTTTGTTAATGATTGCTAATCCAGTACTATGTGTGCAAAAAAAGGTTCACATAAAACAAGAGATGAAGCTTGCAATCACATTTTGTAAAGTTAAAGGGTTCTTTACTTCAGTTGTGCTTGGTCATGTAAGCAAAAATACTTAGAAAGAAGTAACTGTATTTCCTTGCTTAGACCAAACATTGTCAAATTAAAAAAAAAAAAAAAAAAGATTTTGGATAAAATTTTTGCTAGATATTCCATTCCTTTCCATTCTTTCTTTTTCCTTTTTGGTCTGGCTAAGTTCACCAGCTTGTACTTAGATAAATGTCATGTTAGTTTAACAATTAATTCATCTTTTGATGCTAGAAAAGTTAGTATCCTGCAGATCTTCTGACGTAAAAAGTAAAACCAAAGCCATCCGTCTCAGTTACTCCCAAAATTAAAGGGTCTGACACTTCTCTGAGGTATAGATGACCGTGCCTGAGGTATTCATCAAACTAGTTTGCCATTTAATAGGAGTGAGAGATGGGGAATGGGAGAGGAAAGGGTGAATGAAAGACACAGATTGTATTTGAAACAGTCATCACAAAACCAAGTGATTTCCTAAATTGAAGGCTTTTGTTTAATGGTATTTATAAAATGCCATCTCTTCCCATTCACTGATCTTGAATCATTTTGGTCTGACTGAGAAAAGCTGTGCTAAAGCCGCAAGACCTTTCTGTGCCTTAGATAGTTTCCCATAGACCACATCCCATCAGACAGGAAGCAGTCCACAGTCAGATTATTTTTAGTGCTGTTGAGTCTGGCTGCAAATTGGAATGTTCTTTTGATGCACTTCCTCAGTGTGACTAAACTTGGGTTATTTGGGGCATTTTCTTTTGTTGTATTTTGTTTCTCCTCAGTAACTTTATGACAATTTTTTTTTCAGTGCCAGCCCAAGTGACTGGTCTGACCGTGGCAAGTCAGGGATCAACCAACAGCTTGTTCACCAACTGGACAAGAGCGCTGGGAGATGTAGACTCGTACCAAGTGCTACTGATTCACGAGAATGTTGTCATTAAAAATGAGTCTGTTCCCAGTGAAACCAACAGATACCACTTCTATCCCCTGAAACCTGGAGGACTGTATTCAGTTGTTGTCACCACTGTCAGCGGGGGGATATCTTCAAGGCAAACGATCGCAGAGGGAAGGACAGGTAAAAACGAAAATACTCCAGCATGTCTTTTGTCAGTTCCTAAACGCTGAATTTATTAAAGAGAATGGTCTTGTGATTAAGCCACTGGACTGAGAATTCAGAAATACAGGAGTTCCAGCTGTATAATTCCTGTGTGTGACCTCAAACACACCGTAGTCCAGATTCATGTTAACATAGCTTTAGGGAGCTAACTGCTCTGCCTCCGACAAGAACTCTGTACAGCAGGATCACTCTGTAGTGAAGACAAAAATACACCCTGAGAGTGATGTACAGCTGTCGTGGGTGAATCACTCCTTGGAAGGGATTTTCTTGTTCCCTTGACTAGATGGCAGCATAGGGTGATTGCTCCTTACTTAGGTGTGCAAATTAGCTGCCTAAAGGTGGTGGGATGAATTTGTGTTTCAGTCTCTCATGAGCCATTCTTTTTCTCCAATCCAACATTAAAGAATGTCCACCAGGGTTAATTGCTCGTTATGAGGCCCTTCTGTACTGCATAGGACAGGATTTACTATTGCATCAAATTTGTAAGTTTAATGACTCATGAAATGTAATACCAGTCCTTTGGATATTTATATAGAGGGAAAAATTGACAACACAGTGCAATTTCACCCTTTATGTGAATTTGGCAAAGGCCAGGCATTCCGCAGCTTGCTCCAATGTCCTCCTTGAAAACAAATATTTTCAGGTTTAAAAAAAAAAAGAAAAACAATTGGAGAAGAATAATACTAAAAGACTTAAAGTACATAGACATATTTTGTAAAATCTTCTAATATTTTTGACTCTGACAGCTGATGGGCAGCCCCTCTACTGAGGTAAGTCAGCTCAGTGCATCAGAGTCCAGTGAAAATGTGGCAGTTCATTATGATTAAGGTCTGTCCCTATAATAACTGATAATTTTGTATCTGAGTGATGGGCGTTCTAGCAATGTGGAGCCTTTGAGCTCGCCTTGCTGGCTTGAAAAACAAGTTTCATTCATGTTTTGGCCACTAGGCGTCAGAGAACTCATTGTAAATTAAACACATTCTGCTACGGGCCTCAACTTCATACAAGCCTCAGTAGTTATTGCTATTACTGATGAATGGCAATTTGAGAGGATAACTTATCTTCTGGGATTTTAGAAGTGCTGGGATAATGCCACCAAAGACAATTTCCTTCACTGTATTCCAAAAAGCAGATGAGTGCTGCTGAGTGGGAATCAGTGCAGAGCTTCTCAGGAGTCCCAGACTGCTTATTTTGCAGGGTGGCATTCCAGGCATTCTCACAACAATAGGAATTGGCTAGTTAAAGCTCTTCTGGTTTTTCCTCTTTGTTGCACAGTTCCTTCCAGCGTGACTGGAGTAACAGTAAATAACTCAGGTCGCAGTGACTACCTCAGTGTTTCTTGGCTGCCAGCTTCTGGAGATGTAGACAGTTATTTGGTAACACTCTCTCACGATGACCAGATTGTTCAGACTCTCACCATTTCCAAATCATTCAGTGAATGCTCCTTCAGCAGCCTTACTCCTGGGACGCTTTACAATGTGATGATAACCACGAAGAGTGGGAAGTATGAAAATTATTCCTTCAGCCAGGAACGGACAGGTAAAGAGAGCCTCTGAGTGAATACAGTCGCCATAACCACTTTGTATAGCCATTATCAATGAACTAACAATATCTGACCAAACTGGGATGGGTGAGTAGGGGTTGGAGGGTCAAACCATAAAATTACACCTTTACTGACTTAGTCTTATTCTTATGCCCCTACTGCTGCTTTATGTCATCCATAATTACTTTAGATGAATAAAAAGTCATGTGTCAGTCCTTGTGAGCGAGCAGAAATCATGTATCAGTTTTCGCTCAAATGCATTTTCCTGCCCTTAACCCCTCTACTTGGGTCTTCAAGTATATCCTGTAGAGCATCCCCCCAAAAAGTTACTCAAACACTGAAAGAACAGGATAGGAGCTAACTACTAAAATATTAATAAGGTGTCACATAAATGAATAACACCCATGTCTATTGGTTTTGGTCATGTAACACCCAAGTCTATGGTTTTGGTCATGCAGTGTTCAAGGAGATTATAACAGGAATAGAGAAATTTCAGAGAAGAGTGGCAATAATGATGGAAAACTTGTTAAAACTTCCTCAAAGATTGAAAAGACTGAGACTTTACACTTGATAAACCAGTAGAGTAAAAGAAAGATGGTAAGGGGTGTTAAAACAACAAAGAGTATCAAGTTAGTGCAATTTTAGTCTTCTCATGATGTAAGTGAAAAGCCAAGGGACAGCCATTTAAATGCGGAGAAGCAAATTCAGGACTAGTGTGAACCTGTGGAACTCACTGCTATAAGCAAAACTGACCAAGTTCCAAAAGACCAAAAATTGGAAAGGCAAATTATTGTCATATGACATAAAGCAGCCTGGAAACTGCAGAGTTACTATTTTAGAGGGTAGGGTATTGCTTAAATCCACATTGTGGTCTTTTTGCAACTTCCTCAGAAAAGTCTGGTAATTACCACAAATGTAGTCCACTACAGCAACTCCTGTTACTTCAGGAAGTTATTGCTTTCTGAATCTTTAATTGTGTTTTTTCTTTCAGTCCCTTCAAGTGTTCAGGGACTTACTGTCAGCAATTCAGCCAGAAGTGACTACTTGAAAGTGTCCTGGTTACATGCCTCTGGATATTTTGATAATTATGAAGTGATCATCAAGAACAACAATGATTTCATCCAAACAAAAAGTGTCCCAAAGGATGAAAATGAATGTGTGTTCACTAATCTGGTCCCAGGGAGGCAGTACAGCGTCACAGTCAGCACAAGGAGTGGGAAATACGAAACTAGTGAAAGGGTCTATGGCAGAACAAGTAAGTAAATACTCCAGAAACATCCTGAGACACTCCAGGATTTTTTTCTATTTACCGTAGCTGGGCTCAAAAATCTCATATGATTTTAACATAAAATGATTTTTTTCTATTTACCATAGCTGAGCTCAAAAATCTCGTATGATTTTAACATAGGATGTTGAGTGTGACCCTTTGAATGTGTGTCATTCCAAATAAGGAAAGCAGTATTTAGTTTATGACCAATGTTTAAGTTGCAGACATGCAGAAAGTGAAAGAAGAGACCTGTGCTGTGAACTTGGAAAGCAGATCTTGAAACATGGAAAACTGAAAAGCAGTTGTACAGATTTCCACATAAGCTTAGTATTTGTGCTTAAACTATGCCAGAATGTACAAGACAGTTTTTTCTGGTCATGGAAGTGTATAAGGACGAAGATAGGCTAGACCTTGCTCTACTTAAATAACCCCAAGAACTGGAGTTGGAGGGCATGGGACAAGAGTGGTAAGGTGGCTAGTTGTGAGCCGGCAGGGATCTGGATGCAATCTGCCTGTCTTCACCTAGCACTGCATGTAAGCTAATGAGCCATGCTAAAGAAACCAAGTTTATTAACACAGATGTAACACTGGGCAAAAATAACTGACCTGCATTTGGCAGGAGTTGGGAACTGCGCAGTATGGTGCTGCATCACGCAGATGGCTTGCCTTGGGTCTGCACTAGCTCATGCCTATTTGCACTGCATTTATTGTACATGCAGATCCTACTCAATTTTTGTTGGCTATGCAAACTCCCTGCAGGCTCCCTTATTATTCGTTTATTATTTTTATGCTGATAGATTGTGGACTCCCTGTTCTGAAATGGGACCTTCCAGTGTTAGATATGGTGCAAACCACAAACAGCAACCCTTGCAAATAAGTGCAATCTACTGCTTTTCTTAGGGAACCAAATGAAAAGTTTAGCTCAGGAGCATGGCCTCAGAGCTGTTATCTTTTTGCTGTGATCTGGTAGTAAGTACTCAGAAGTTTCCTATCTTTCTTCTCACCTCTTCAGTGCCAGAGTCAGTGAAGGAACTGACTCTTAGTAACAGAACCACAGAAGATCTGCAGGTAACTTGGTCAAAGGCTGAGGGGGATGTTGATAAATATGAGATTCAGCTCCTCTTCAATGATATGAAGATCTTTCCACCCATTTTCCTTGGGAACACCATTGAGGAGTATTGGTTCACAGCTCTGACTCCAGGACGTCTATACAAAATTCTTGTCTTGACAATCAGTGGAGATGCACAACGTGCTACTTTCATAGAAGGCCTGACAAGTAAGAAATAATGTGGTATTTAAAATGTGTTGAGGCTTCTCTAGAGGAAAGAATGAGGCACAGAAAATCAAGGAAGAACCATGATCTTATTTGAGCTCCTGTAACACTGGCACAAAGATAGCAGATCTCATTGAAAAGCACAGTAGTACTTCAGCCAACTTGATCTGTGCTTAATAAACAAATGTCACAGACACCAATATTTGATTATTGGCAGATAATTTGATTTGTTGCATAGGAATGGTATTGAGATGTCAGTGTTTGGGTTTCTGTTATTCCCATGCATGCCAGTTGTTTGCTTAGTATCTCTAGCTGAATCACTTAAGCTATTTTATGCCTCTGTTTACCCACCTGAAATGAATGGGTGAGATTATAACTGCAAAATGCCTAAGTAAGTGTACAGAAAGAGCTTTGATTTTCTGAGATGTTTCTAAAGTGTCATTCGGAGAAGAGGGAGGTTGTCCAGATAAAAGAATATACAAACTTTTTTTCTGTTTAACTTACATTTTCTTTACTTTTCTTCCTGAAAACACATAGAATTGCTTTTCTAAAATGGCACAATCCTACACAAATGCCTTCAGCTTTACTTGTGTTTACCCATGAGTAAAATTACTTGTACCTGTAAATGCTCTTTGTCCTTTGAATCATTTGCTGTGGCCATAAAACGTAGGAATTAAAAAGTCTGAATCAAACAGGAAATTTGTGAGCAGGTGCCTTTGTGTTCCTTTTTTTTTCCAGTTCCAAGTGCGGTCAGAAACATTCATGTATCACCTAACGGCATGACAAACAGCCTGAAAGTGAGCTGGACTCCTGGAGGTGGAGATGTTGATTCCTACACAGTGACTATATTTCAGCAAAACCATCAGCTTGATTCCCGGAGTGTCTCCAAACACGTCTCTGAGCACATGTTTCACAAGTTGGAAGCTGGGGAGCAGTACCGGGTGGTGGTGCAATCTAACAGTGGCACCTTGCACAACAGCTTAGCAGCTTTTGGGAGGACAAGTACGTTTTTTTTGAGACAAGGAGCAGGTTGCATTATGTCTCCCCAGAAGCTGACCCTTGTTTAATAACGTTTATGAACGTACCATTGGTACGTCCAGACTCACAGGAAGTTTTTATCTCAAAGAGCGTGAGTCCTCACTCTTGCAAACACTTAGGCATGGCTCTGTTAATACGAGTGAGATCTGTCACGTGAGTAGCTTTACCTGGGTAAATGTGTGTGGAATTCAGGTCCCCAGCCCAAAGTGTGCCTTTATAGGATGAATACAGTTCCAGCCCTCCCCAGTCCTGTGCCTGTACTCATCTGACACATACATCTGCAGGGCTCCATGTGGTCAGATACTGTGTTCTAGCAGAGCCCATTGCATGGTCAAGGCTTGTTAGACAATGTATAGCCCCAACATACTGCGTGTCAGGACACACAAACAGTGGAACGCCTTGTTTTCAATCTATCCTCGCTTGCAGACACCTGCATGTGTTTGCGGTGGCCTTGACTTTTGTCCAACAGCTGCTGGCTAACATTTTCTGTGCCACTGTTTTGCACCAATTTACCACTTCTTTACTTTTCAGTTCATTTTCACAGGCCTTTCTTAACTGTTGCAGTCAGTTCATCTCACTCTCCTCCTCCCTCTTTTCATGATCATTTATGAATATCTCTTGCTTCTCCATGCCCAGTTCAGATGTCCATGATGCTCTGTAACTTCGTGTGATTGTATTTATGTCTAGGAATTATTTGCTTGTGCAAACACACGCACAGATATCGCTTTTCCCACAAGTGAACATGCAAATGTGTAAAGATATTCTCTATTAATTACTCTATTCACAGTTGTGTATTGAATGGTCTGTATTTCACCTGGTAATGTCCTGCCTTTAATTGTTGCTTCCAGTTCCAGCCTCTGTCCAGGAATTATTAGCCCATCATGCTTACAGCAGTCATTCCTTGTTAGTAACCTGGCAGAAAGCTCCTGGTGTAGCTGAAAGATACGACATTCTGCTCTTGAATGAGCAAGGAATCCTCCTGAGCAACAAATCAGAGCCAGCTACTGCCAAACAGCACAAATTTGAAGATTTATTAGCCGGCAAGAAGTATAAAATACAAGTTTTGACAGTCAGTGGAGGGCTCTTCAGTAAACGAGCAGAAACTGTTGGCCGAACAGGTAATTACAACATCTCGGTTTATTTATAGCTCCCTCAGTCAGATATCATTAAATACATGAATCATCTGTATATCCTGATTCTGGAAAGTTTCCAATAGGAACAGACTCCAGATATTTATGCATCATTTTTCCTGGTAAGTGCTCGGTATGTGAATCTGAAATTTGTTAGCATAATAATGTGGCCATAGTTTGTAATAAGGATATTGAACCGAAGTGCTGCATGCTTCTCCCAGTCTGTCTGTTTCGGAACCACCTGAATGCTTTGTTGTCATCAAGTTTTTAATTCACAATCTCAAAGCTCTTAGCACAGCATTTGACATTAATACACACCTCTAAAATTAGAGCCAAGTCTTGCACTCTTTACTCAGTTAAAGCTTCGTGTAGAAACTAATGGACCAGGCCTGCTGGGAAATACAAACATTGTATTGGAGAGACTCAGCGGCACCTCATAAATGTCTTCGTTGCTTCTGAAAGTTGATGTTGACATTACTTAGCTACTTGTGGCTTAATTGAAATATATTCCAGCCATGAGTTGTTACTTTATTGAAGGTTCAGCTTAGTGGCTAGACACTTTGATATTTACTCTTGTGCTTATCCTTCTTTTCAGTTCCAGCAGCTGTCACAAATCTGAAGGTCACAGAGAACACCACTGACCGACTGTCCTTCAGCTGGACCACCTCACTAGGGGAGCTTGATTCATATGACATCTTCCTATACAACCCAGACAAGTCTCTTCATGACAGGATTTCAGGAGAGCAGCACCTCCAGCAATGTTCATTCCAGAACCTGCGGCAAGGCAGGATGTATCGAATGGTGATTGTTACCCACAGCGGAGACCTCACTAATGAGTCGTCTGTCTTTGGAAGAACAGGCAAGAACATCTAAGAAAATCATCCATCTCCAGTGTGGTGCTAATGAGAGACACCAGTGAGCTGGTCTGAGTCTGATGTTCATGCTAGATTAAAGCAACTATTTGAAATATCAAATCTGGCTCTTATACATGAAAAGCGTTAGATAAAGAAGAAGGTAAATGCTGAATGATGTGGTTACAAGAGGAAAATGAAGCAATAGTTCCCAGGTATTCAGGTCAGGAGAAGGGCATCCCAATGTATGCTGCATAAGACTTAAAGGAAAACAGCTGTCTCCCATCCTAGAAGCAATGTTGGTCTATGAGTGGAAAAGACAAAAGGCAAAGCAAGTAGGGTTAATGGGGTAGACAATCTACCAGTGAAGGAAAACTTGTTTCACATGGGGAGCTCTGGCTGCAGCTTCATGTTTGTTTAGCCACCTGTGGGAAGCAGAGTTTCCTAAGCAGCTCTGGCAGCCCTGACACTCTCTGAAACCTTCCTTTATCCTCTGAGGCACCACATAGTAACTGCTGTGTACCACTGCCTCTGCACTTTCTTCAGCTACCTCAGAATTGGATGTCTCCAGACACTGACTGGGAAAAAGCTGTTTAACATTTGCAAAACTATCTATTATAAACATTTCAGCCTCTTTTGGGGACAGTGGCAGTTCAAAATAAGAAAGGAAACTATTGAGATATACTTCCTGATGCTTCTTGGCTTTTTGGCCAGCTGTGATGGCTGTCTAGTTTATTACGTGGCTGTCATTACAGGATAAGTGTAAGGTCTTCTTGACCTTGTTGCTTCTGCTCACCCTAAGGATGTTCTACATGAAGTAATATTCATCCCCTTTTTTTCAGTACCAGCCCCAGTTGTTGGTCTCAAGGCATCCAACCGAAACATGACAGACAGTCTGTGGTTCACCTGGGGTCCAGCAGCAGGAGATGTTGACTTCTATGAGCTGAATCTTTACAACCCAAATGGGACACAGAAAGAAACATGGCACAGGAAAGACCTGAAAGAATGGCATTTCCAGGGGCTCATTCCTGGCAGAAAGTACACTCTGGTTGTGGTGACTCACAGTGGTGACCTGACCAACACAGCAAACGCTGAAGGAAGAACAGGTAAAAGACACAAAAGCTTTGGGATTTTTGTTTAGTCCTATCTGTCAGAGTTCATATTAGTTCACAACTATGCAACAGACTTACTCTGAGGGAGGATTTATTCTAAGAGTCACTGAAGGTGAAAAGGTAAAGGCTATCCTTAAGGGTATTAAACCAATGGAGTGTGATTTTGTTCAGCACTGTTTTTCTTTCAAAGGCTCAGGAATGTGTAATGTCTGTGAAAGTCACCACCATCAGAGTTGATGCAGTAACTGGCTGTGTACATGGGATAACATAAACCACTTTGTGATGCATGAAGAAAATAATGCACGTTTGATCTTACTTGTCTTGTGTAAAAATTGTTAAGAATCTCTTTTTTTTCCCTTCTTTCCCAGCACCCAGCCCTCCTAACACTGTATCCTTTACTGATGTTGCAAACACTTCTTTATCAATCACTTGGCTGGGTCCTCCAGACTGGACAGACTATGACGATTTTGAGTTGCAGTGGCTGCCAAAAGATCCCCTCACAGTATTCAATCCCTACAGCAGCAGCAAATCAAAAGTACGCATCATGTATGGCCTGCGACCAGGAAGATTCTATGAGTTCAGTGTCAGAACGGTCAGTGGTGACAGCTGGAAGACATACAGTCAGTCACAGTCTGCAAGTGTGAGGACGAGTAAGTAACAATTTCCATTGCACCCTAACGCTCAGCTGGAGAAGATGCAAAACTGTTAAATCTTACCAACTCCTTTCGCAGTCAGTAATTTCCATTAATAAATTCATTAATGACTGGTGATGAATTCAGCTAGACTCTTAAGCCGTTGCTGTGTGCAAGATCAACTGTTTGAAGATTGAAAATGGACAGACATTTGCAATCTTCACATTCAGAGTGGGGCTGTTTGGTTGCAAAGCCTGAATCCATCAGTTTCAGGGGTAAAATAAGGCTGAATATCCAAACTTCTCTGACATTAGGGACAGTAGGATATTGAAATAATTGACACGTTTTTGAATGATCAGACAGGAAGGATGAATTAAACCCTGCTGTACTAGATTTGAAACTGGAATCACAGTGTTTCGCTGCTCTGCGTTTCTGTCAGTGTCTGTGGATCCATGTCATCTCTAGCTGTCTCTAGCAACCTCAGTAGCAGGCCGATTTGAAAAAGTGACTTGGAATTGTAAAAATACCTCATGTCACTTGGGGTGGGATTCAGCTCCAAATCAGCATCTATGTTTAGTAAGCTGAGTAGCTCTTTAGACTTCATTCAGCATATTAATTAGAATGAGAGCGTAGCTACCTCTTTCTCCTGTATTTAACCACTTAAATCTAGGTGTCTGCCATCTGAAAGTGAAATCCCATCCTTGTTACATGTCGCATGTTATAAATGATGCTTTAGTATTCCATGGATAAAGCATACTTCTGTGGTATGCTTTAGTAATATGGACACACCACATGCTACCTAGGAAACCAGATCAGTCATGAGATGACAGTATTAGTATTGACTGATACTGTTGACCACATGTAACCTCAAAGATGTTGTAACAGAGTTCTAGAAATCCATTGCTTTCCAGTGTTGCTGTTCTTGTTAAGACTTCAGCAAGTAGTTTTGTTTGCTTGTTTTCACAGTTACTGAAGCTTCACAAACCTGATGAGGCTGTTGTCACTAGATCCAATTTCAGATCGCTAAAATGAGTAAGACTGCCTTGCCTAATAATCAGGCAGCACACATTTGCAGGAGAGGTGGGAATTCTGGCTCCCAGCCTCCTGCTCTGATCAAATGGTTGATGCAGAATCTAGGGGCCACGGGGTGAGCAGAGTGCATTATGCCTGTCCCTTTTCCCACTGAGCTTCAACTTCTCAACATTTCTCTAGAACCAGACAAGATACAAAGTCTTCATTGTCGGCCCCAGACCTCTACTGCCATTGCGTGTTCCTGGACTCCTCCTGATTCTGACTTTGATGGGTATAGCGTCGAATGCAAAAAACTGGACACTCATAAAGTGGAATTTTCTAAAAGGATAGAAAAAGACAAATCTCTGCTTAATATCATGACCCTCATTCCCCACAAGCGATACCTGGTGTCCATCAAGGTGCATTCTGCAGACATGACGAGTGAAGTAGTTGAAGACAGCACCATCACAATGATCGACCGTAAGTGGAATTCAGAGTTGCCGTGAAGGGAGGCAGTGAGCAGCAACAAGCAATTGCTTGTGTTGGTTAGACAGCAAAAGGAGTTCTGAACTCCACAGTTGCCAGTGTGTGGCACTCGTAATCTGGTGGCCAAAATAGGGCAAACCTGTCCTTTGGTCCCTGTTGTGACAGACAATGCAGGATTTTAACTATGTTGCCCCTCATTACATTGCCAAACCTGCTTATTTGGCTCATTCATGAAACATAGCCTGTGAAACATGAAAAATTATCCTGTCACTCTGATGTTCAGCACCAAAGATGTCCTCATCATCCCACACCTTTAATTGTCCTTATGGTTGCTGCTTGGCTTCCTGTGCCTGGCTGTTTTCCCTCACAGACAGTAGCCATCCTCACCAAAAAGATCCCTCAGTAAGGACATTGGATTGTGGCACTGGGTCCTCTTTGGGCTCTCCATACACTCTTCTGAGATGCTATCTGACCAAATCACCTGTAGGAGTTAGACCTGAGGGAAGATCACAGATTTCCAAAGCATGTGCTTTGAAACAGCTTCTGCAGTTTCTCCACCCTTAGGCTGCTGAGTGGAGGGTAGTGACAGCATCTGCTGGTGCCTCTGCACTGCCAAGCATCACCGTGGTCAACAGATTGCCATTGCGGGCCCTAGAGCTGCTCCAGTTTTTGCAGTACCTCTGGATTCAGTGGCACAGCACAATGCAAGGGCCTGAACCG